TTTAGCATCGAATCTATGCATAGTTGCTCTATGCTCATGATCGCATCAGTGCATTAACACATAACAGAACAGTCATGATGGATGTCATCAGGATTTTTGGGGCTGTCGGGTAGCCTACTGGTTAAAGCGTTCGCTCGTTACGCCGAAGACCCGGGTTCGAATCCCGACATGGGTACAATGTGTGAAGCCCATTTCTGGTGTCCCCAGACGTGATATTGCTGGAATATTGCTAAAAGCGGCGTAAAACCATACTCACTCACTCACTCATCCGGCTTTTTGCAAACTACCCAAAAGGAATATAAAGGCTTTGTCAAGGCGATGATGATAATACAAACTAGATACGATGAAAGAACATTTTTTAAACATTTTAAAGACATAGATTTCCACCACAGACGTAGGTGAATTTGTCCTTAGCCCGAGTAGCGTGTCAATGAATTCAAACGATAAACCATCAGGATGAAGAAACGCTAATGTTCTTGCAGGTGATTCTGGCATTCACTGTTCATTCTGAACCTGGAAACAAGTGAGTGAGTGAGTATGGTTTTACGCCGCTTTTAGCAATATTCCAGCTATATCACGGCGGGGGATACCAGAAACGGGTTTCACACCTTGTACCCATCTGGGGAATCGAACCGGGGTCTTCGGCGTGACGAGAAAACGCTTTAACCACTAGGCTTCCCCACCGCCATGGAAACAAGTAAAAGCTGTCGCAACTAAAGGTCATTATGCGACATTATAAAGAAACATGGTTTAACGAGGAGAAATCGCTGGAGTGTGTGGATTCCGGAAGTAGAATTAACTCATCACTTCGTGGCTCGTTGATTCTACTTCCGGAATCAACTTTTCCTCGTGATTGCTCAATTATGGAAGGCATTCGTGACCAACTCATGTTATTCCGGGACAAGCCGAATAGCGTGGCCATTTTTGCGACCGGGTTCCGTCTTAGCGCAAACAGGCATACCTAAAACAATTGTCGACTCGTTGCGTAATGGTTCACACATTTTCCCCATATATTATATATATTTCAGATGCAATTTAAAGCTCTTCGGGACGTGCGGAATAATACAGTATGATTGAACACATTTAACTGTGTCTTTGGTATATTTTTAGATGCAAGACATATGTAAAATCAAAAATTATTTCTGAGGGATTCTTTGACGAAGAACTTGAAATCATACGCGCATTCTGATTGGTTTGTCGTATTTTCGCACATAACATTCATCGATAGGGGGACGAGTCTTCTTGCAGGTGACGGAAAGGGGCGAGTGGTGACGAATGTTATGGAGGGTAGTCCGTCATCATCTGACCTCAGGTCATCCCCATGGAGTAGCTGGTATTCGATCTCACACATGTTTGATACTAGTTACCTCAAACGGGTTTCTCACCCACAGGTATGTAAATACCAAACGCCAGACAATAACCATTATCGAGAATCTGACGGAACAGATTCCATTGGGGGCGCACGAGGTAACAGCCGTGAAAATAATATGAATGGTTCACTGAAAATCAGTGAAAGAGAGTGATTCTTTTATAAAATATATTCTGTAATCAGCGGAACAATATTTTTTTCGGTCTTATAGCAGACCCAAATAAAAGTTTGGGACCCCAAATCCTTCAATTTTTGGAACATCTAGTTTCGGGAACAGCTTATATTTGTTACAAACACAACCTCGGCACCTGTCCCCTCTCCTTTACAGGGTAGCTAAAACAATATTCTAAAATAGCCCCACACCTAAATGTTTCTTTATGAGGAAGTAGTGTGAAAAACGACTTTCTCAGCTCGAGTTCCGACTTTTCGTATGAAGAGCCCAAGAGGGGTGGGGTGGCTAGGTCAAAGGTGGTGAAGTCATTCAGTGCATCGAGTTTACTTTTATATATTTTTTCTTTGTTTGTTTGTTGTTTAACGCCGCAATAGTCCAGCTATATGACGGTGGCCTGTAAACAATCGAGTCTGGAATAGACAATACAGTGATTGATATCATGAGTATCGATCGACGCAAATGGTATACGATGACGTGCATCAACCAAGTCAGCGAGCCTGACCACCGGATCCCGTTAGTCGCATTTTACGACAAGCATGGATTTTTTAAGAACTATTCCACCCCGGGTCTTCATGGGTCGATAGACATGTAACATACTGAAGAAATACATCCAAGTCATCGTGCCAGGGTCTTTACTCAGGTTTGCTACGGTGAGTGTAATCGATAGTTTTATCACACTGGTGTGCCATTGTGGCCTTGCCTACATAACGAGTGAGTGAGTGAGTGAGTGAGTGAGTGAGAGAGTGAGAGAGTGAGAGAGAGAGAGAGTGAGTGAGTGAGTGAGTGAGTGAGTGAGTTTGGTTTTACAGTACTTGAATTATTTGACGGTGTGTCAGCTTGATGTGGGAGGAAAGCCCGAACAGATTCAGTATACAGCACTACCAGCTTTTATGCTGACATCCAGAGCTGGGCGGACGATATTCATATTGGGTTTCAAGGAGTAAAAACGTTAATACAGATTAAATCAAACACATTTTGCCTCATGCGAAGATTTCTGTAAGGTAACTCATTTTCTCATTCGACTTTGATTAGAAAACAACCTTTTGATGTTGAAAATCGTGAACAGACTGATGAACATGTGTGTGTTACGCCATATAATACCGTATTTACACACCTAAGTTAATTTTCACGTGATCGCATACTCACTTTACATATACACGCACGTGCACGATTACTTACATGAGCAAATGTCGTGCATGAGAACGGGTATATTAGACGTGTACCAGTCTGGTGAATCCCGGGCACGGGTATTGTGCTGACAAACCTAGAAACATACATGTATATATCAGGGTGGATCTGGGCTTCGACCAAACTACGATACGTTTCTCGCAATTTGTTTATATATGTGTGTATATATTACCTAGTGCAGTGCAGATGTTACGTGGTTTCACTGGATGAATCTTTCAACGATCGATCCCTTCACAATAGTTCATACAACCTGATTAGCGATTTGGTTACAAACGTTTCTTTTTTGTGGCTAATAGTGACCAATTTGACATCGAACAACATTAACAAATGGGACATGACTGTCGACAGCTTGTGTCATAGTCATGTGAACGAGTGAAACTAGAGACTCAAGTTTCAATATGGATTCCTCCTACTGCTGGCCGAGATACTTGTCATGCGCCGAGTGGATATTTACGACATGACATATAATACGCTGAACGATGGCACAATTGTACTCATATGTGTATATACTCACGTAAATAGAATGTATGTGTCATGCGAACACATTTGCTCACGTAATATTACTTCAGGTGTACATCTGCCCCTGGTTCGGTATGATGTAAAAGTACATTCACACATGAGCAAATTTGCTCTACGTCTAAATTCATCATGCCGACTCTTAGCAATATTACTCATGTGAACATTTTATTTTACCTTAAATTCTACCTTTTTTATCTTGAACATTCAAGGCAACAGTGTCATTTCAAAGCAGAAAGTGAAACCTTTGGAAGTTCATTTGTCGGATTCAGTTTCTCTTGTATTTTCAAGTTTGTATCATATTTTTTCAAGATCGCATCTTGAATTTCAAGATAAAATAAGAAAGTTTTCGAAATTCTACTTAATAAGTTGAAATTTTTAACTTAACAAATTGAATTGTCAAGAGGAGAACATGCATGGCCAAGTTGTCATCTCGAATTTACAGATTTTGCAAGATTATACAAAAAATGACATGGTCCTAATAGGCTTCCGTACGTTATAGTCTGTTTCATCATACATATTTTAGTCTAGACATGACATATATTACAAGATACATTTTACTTCATCTTTTGGTCAACTCCGATGATTTCATTCAGCATCGGGTACGACTACGAAGGTGACGACACATATGTAAAGGCAAAGAAAGGCCAATCCTGAACAGACGAGGAACCACCTTCGCCGTTTGTCAAAGGACCTGAATCCGGATTTGTTTTGTTGCCCAACGTCGCACTCAGAAATATCCCAGCTATGTGACCAGGTCGAACAATATATAAATACCTGCATCACACTCACCTGATGCTGTTTGTAACTCTAAACCTGTCCCGTGTTTTAAGGTGGAGAATTGACTTGCCTTTGGATGTGTTTTATTAGTGACAAGACATGAAATATATGCCTTGGTAGCACACCAAACAGCATATACTATAGGATCTGATTGTGATCCTGTGTGGGTAGGCTATGACTATAGGTAGACAATCAGACGCACGTAACATATCTGTATCTTCAGTCTGTTTGTTTGTTTGTTTTTAACACTGTGCTCAGCAATATTCCAGCTATATAACCAGAGTCATGGTGGCACCTCCCTTAGTTCGGTCAAGTATCATAACTGTCAACATGAATACTATACGGAGTTACGTCCCTTGGCCCTCCCAGGACCAGCAGATGGAGTGTGTGGCTAATCTCAAATCACCACTGTGGCAAGTGGGTAGTGGAAACGTCATAGTAATTACGAAAACACCATGCATGTGCGTCTTTATGTTTATTACAAACAATAATAGTAGAAGTAGTAGCATGAACACACAATGCCATTTAGAAAGTGGTCAGATGTAGCAAGTGTTATATTTGGGATAACACTTTCTTAGTAAAGTACAGATGCTCGTACTTTTTTGGGTTGAGTCCCGTCCGGGATTCGAACCTACACCGCCAGAGTGAGGCACCTAATCGCGAACCCACAAAGTCAGCGTGGATGCCTCGGTGGCTGAATCGGTTAGATGGCTGTGTAGTAGTAGTAGTAGTAGTAGTAGTGTTAGTCGTTGTAGTAGTAGTAGTAGTGGTGTTGGTAGTAGTAGTTGTAGTAGTAGTAGTAGTAGTAGTACTAGTAGTAGTAGTGGTGGTGGTGGTAGTAGTAGTTGTAGTAGTAGTAGTAGTAGTAGTACTAGTAGTAGTAGTGGTGGTGGTGGTAGTAGTAGTAGTACTAGTAGTAGTAGTAGAAGTAGTAGTACTAGTAGTAGTAGTATAGGTGGTACATGTAGGTGTACCAGTAGTAGTAGTAGTGGTGGTAGTAGTAGTTGTAGTATGTAGTACTACTAGTAGTAGTAGTAGTAGTTGTAGTAGTGGTGGTGGTAGCTGTAGCAATAGAAGTTATAGTGGTAGGAGGAGGAAGGGAATCAGTTATAGTAACAGTAGCAGTAGGAGTACAAACTGCAGTTACAGTAGCAGTTGACAAGTGGGTAGTTACAACGTTATAATTATACATGAAACACGATGTGAAAATTTCATTCACAAAGACAACTTAGAAACAGCGAAGGAATAACATGCATGTATATATATATATATATATAGTGCCAAGTTATGTGAAGCCACGCTTGTTTACAAAAACTACCAACCTTTGGGGAACGTCATGAAATAGTATTTTCAAGCCAGTAGGCATGCCATCGATGTATAGAGCTTATGAAAAGAGTTTTTGATAGATAACCTCATTTGCTTAGTCATCGGATCTCGGTACAGAATTATAAGGTTTGTTAAGCGTATCTCTTTACGAAGCAAGAACACTGAAGACGGAAATGATTGTTAGAAGAACAAAGTGCTGATAACTATACTGAAATGAAACTGCACCCGTTGTAGGTTTCGTATCAGATTCAGTAGCAGGTGTAGTAGGAGGTGTAGCAGCGATCCTCAACTCGCAATTACAGGATTCAAAGTCCAAGAGAAACTCCAGAGTCTTGGAGTTTGATCTTTCATAGAGGTAGCGCCGTCCGTGTTCCCACTCCGCTCCCTGGAAGCACGGATGTTCCCTCGCAGCCCTGACAGCAGGCACGCACTCCTGGAGACAGTCGCCCGTAGCAGCACAACTGCCGGTGACGTTGATGAAGATAGTGTCGAGTGGGTTAGCAACCGATGGAACATATAAGCCTGCCCAGTCACAGGTGCTGTTGTCAGGCTTGGAGACTGCGTCGGGGGCTGTAGGGGATGCTGAGGAGGGTGCAACGTCTTCACACTCACACGACCGCAACTTCATGAGAAACGTGACCGTGACCTTCATCCTTAACAGTGTATAGATGTTATATTTCCATATATCGCCCTGGAAACATTTGTGCTGCTTTGTTGTCTGAATGGCGTTGTAACATGCCGGCGAACACTTCTCAAACAAGTTGCAAGTGGTGTTCACAAGGACTTGAAGCTGCAATAATTCGGGGTCGGATAAAATTGTCTTCCAAGCACAACCTTCGTACGTGTCCTCAATGTCAAGCATGCATTTAGGAATACTCTTGAAGTTGGTGAAGAATGGTCTGTTGGACTTCTGTTGAGGGTAGTAGGTGATGAAACTGTAGCACATCTCGTCGGACGTCGCATCACCGAACATCGTTGTCGTAGACTTCTTGGAGGATGCGAACTCACAATGCGTCCTCAGCTCGTCACCAGGTCGGATCTCAACGGGCTCACTGAATCTGTGCACAAACATGGACAATCAACAATACTAGTTATAACTTTCAACAGCGACTAAGTGACCACATAGGATCGACACCTTATTTTAAGGTCGGTCGGGTTATCGGAACAACATCATTTAAGACCTGTGTTTTAGAGAGGATTGCTTTTCCTTCTTTTGTTTTTCAACAATTGTCTAAGAATGTTAGCATAAAATCGCCTTGTACCGTACAGGCATTGGAAACAGGCATGAGTTTGGTTCAGCGGTATTCAGTTATACCACGGCTTGTGAGCTCACCGTAGGACAGTCAAACATGCAGTGAACTTTAACCATATAAGTGAACCCCTTGCGCACGGGTATGGGACCAGCGAATCCTGACACAGCAAAGGGAAACAACTTTGGGCATATAGTTGCAGCTCCTTAGATCATTGGACGGCACACCTACAGAGTATGGGACACCAATCCACCTTGTTTCATTAATTTGATGCTGCTATATGCAGCAGCGCACGACAGCTGGCTATTTGTAAAATAGGCGATGAAGCTCAAATATGCAGAAATGAATACTCTGCTTGAATTTGTTTGGTTTTATTATTAGACTTCCAAATTTAATATCAAAGCCGTTAAGAAAGATAAAACATTGGACATGAACATTGAAACATTGAATAGTGTCGTGAGGCAACCGTATCAGTGACATCCATTGGTGTCACATTCCAACAAACACATGGTATATTTTATTAACTCTCAAACTAATACGACGTTTACTTAAGATAGCATTTGTTTCAAGCCGTTTTGGCTAACCCAAAGTATGTTTGTTGAAGGTAAAGTTCAAGATAATGCTACGAAAGCCCGAAACAGACATCTTTTAACTACGGCTCTGAGATCAACAGCAGTTAAATGGGCGGTTGCACAGTATACATATGCAGGTTTATTTTGCACAAACATAAAAGACAACCTCATTCGTATTGTGGATAGATCGGATGCCTGTAGCTGAGTAATTTTAGAACATTGTAACAATTCTTGTTACACAGTAATATTCTTTATATAAATCTACTGTGAATATTTTTTTCCATTTAAATGTTACATTCCGACATATGTTAAGATGTACTAGGAAATAAAGGTGAATTATTCCAAACTAAAAGAGATTTTTTGACACTTATGAAGACCAGCTTTGGTCTGTCACAAGCCTGACCTTCAAACTTTCAATCCAAATTTTGATTATTTATTATATATTCTCTAAATATTATGTAATCTTAATGGTAGAAATATCCTTTAGATTTCAAAACAAGATCTTGCATCAAAATTGTTTTTTTTAAACATATTTTCTAACCCAAACAGTCTTGTCACAAACGCGGATGTCCCTACTTTTTCCTGCCAACTGTTTTTTTTTAATTAGAAAACAAAAATGTCTCCGTAAGGCTGTCCTGGGGTTACTCCCTCTTTGGGAACAACCCCCAAACACAGGGAGTGAAAAATAGAGACGGCCATGACGTGTCCAACCCCAAGCAATTATGAGCAAGTATAAAAGTAATTGTCCTAGCTGCTACATGGTCAAACCAAGACCAGCCAACAACACAGAGAGTGAAAAACACAGAAATACAGTCATCCCGTGTCCAAGCTTTAGTCTTTATAATAATAATTGTCACTACTGTTACATTGTCAAAAATCAAAACAAAAACATATTTATATATATTCTCACTCATAAAATGCATGAAAAAGAAGGGTTAACTAAAAGGGAATTTGAAATAAACAGCCATTGGGGAGCAAAAATTAATTGGTATATTTGGCCTTAACTGTTATGTCTCTACTGTTGCATAACAGTGAGTATATGTGGGACAACAGTCGGGAGACATTATGTACTGTATGGACAACAGGAACAGTGTTTGTGTTTTCATGTTTAATTGAGGATGTTTGTAATGTACATTAATATAGGGGCGGTCGTGGTTAAAGCGTTCGCTCGTCACGCAGAAGACCCGGGTTCGATTCCCGACATGGGTACAATGTGTGAAGCCCATTTCTGGTGTCCCCCGCCGTGATATTGCTGGAATATTGCTAAAAGCGGCGTAAAACCATACTCACTCACTCACTACATTAATATATTGATGAATTGATAGATAGATGGTGAATCCATTTTCTCATTGATGAAATGTGTCACTCCTTTTGACAGTTCTTTTATTTTATTGCAGTGTAACAGTAGGGACAGACGTGGATGATGGGGTTATATTACTTTAAAAATTTGATATTTGTTTATCGTGAAATTTGAACCTTTAAAGACCAACAACTCAAAGGAATAGTCTTTTATATCAGGGGGCACGGGTGGCCCAGTCATCTAAGGCGCCGCGATTCGCTGTGCAAAGTTGCGTCCCTTGGGCACGCCAGAAACCTATGATTGTGGGTTCGAATCCCGGTTCGCCCCGATTATGTTTCTAGGTTTGTCAGCACCATACCCGTGCTCGTGGGTTTCACCGAAGTGGTAAACGTCAGAGACCTGCATCACTTCGGGTTTTCCTCCCACATTAAGCTGACGCGCCGCGATATAACTGGAATAATGTTAAAAGCGGCGTTAAACCCAACTTACTAACTCACTCACACTTTTATATCATATCCAGCAGTCACATTATTTGACATCAGTGTTCACTGTAGTGACTATCTTTTGAAACTTAGTGGGTGTAACAGTGGGGACACATTAATGTAACATTAAGGACAAAATTATTCTAAAATATCACTTCATGTTTCATTCGTTGTTGTAAAATTTCAAATGTATCTTGTATAAAAGGTATATTGCGTCATATTAATCAAAACGTACATATTTTGATTCAGATATTACCAGAGTAGGAACTTAACTTCAGATAACAGACAAACAGACAGACAGGTTTATTTGCATTAAAGGCCACGTGACCTAAAGTACAAAACTTTTTACATCATAATTTGAGTTACAACATGAAGATATACAGACTCAAATTAACAAAATTACTTATTACGCGGAACCGTTCTTAAAAGATGTGTTAAGAACTGGGTAAATTTTAAAATGTGTTGTGGTAAATTATTTCATATAATAATCAAAATGTATATATTTTCACTCAGATATTAACTATAATTGGAACTTAACTTTAAATCAGAAGGTAGGTATAACTGTAGGGACATTAGTTTGTAGTTTCGTTGTTAAATTTACTTTTAATATTATACATTTGGCATCTAAAGGTTTACAAATAGTTTCGTTACAATGTAAACTAGTTAAATGTATATATTTACTGAAAACGTACATGCAGTTCGTTTGTTACATTTAAAACACTATACTTTATCCAGCTGCAGTAAATTTTACTTGTCAATTAATTACTTTCAGAAAAGAGAACAAATTTGAAATATGATTATACTGACACATGTGAAGATAAAATAATATGACCTATGGAGACATGCATATTAGGCTTTAGTGATGGATGTATTAAACATGAATTCTGATTATCCTGCTGATGTAAAACCCAAAGAATATTAGAGAACTCAAGAACTCCTAGCGAATTATCGATGTTGCATGAAGGCACTGTCATTATGACGTCACGCTTTGTTCAGCTGGTTAGTAATGTTAATACAGTTTGACTTTGCCTGTTCTAGACTATTAAAGTCACAATTTGTATCACTGATTTTAGGGTTACAGACGTTAAACAGTAAATACAATTTTGCTTATGTCTTCACAAATTATAAATGTCACGAAAATCAAACTACCTGGGCTTTGGGTGCATAAGCTTTTCATTTTGCATCCTTTTAACGTAGTTTTTAGATTCATGAAAATCCCATTCCTGAAACTTTAATTCCCTTCTTTCTCAATTATCGCCATATATATATAAAAAAGATGACATATATATATCATCTATGGACTTTTGTATTTTTTGTATTTTATATATATATGTTTATCATCCAAAACTGACCCCCACAGGAGATATCGCTTGGACTACATGGTTAGTAGAAGTTTTCATAATACCTGAAGAGACGATGAATAGCGTAAGAGCTTGTGTGGGAAGGGCAGGGCTCTGACCCTGGCGGGCGGACCGATGGAGCTCCGCGAAAGGCAAGTAAAATCTCTATGTGTAAGCAATTATTATTCTATATGTAGTTACGCCACTAAGAAACAGATGATAGTGGGCACTATATTGAATATAGTCACTGTCCGTCTGACGAATCACTGACCTGCTGACGTAAGATATATTGATGCGCACAATCCAGGAAACCTTGCAATGTTTAGGTATTGTTTGCGAGAGATAAAACAGGTATATCGAGGACAGAATTTAACAATAAAATTATATGATTAAGAGGTTATGACGTTTCTGTGTTTTGGCTAAATACAATGTTTATTCCTAATACAGGATATTTACCATCCCAAAACACAATCGAGTGATAACCTCTATGCATGCTATATATATATATATAGATATATTGGCATACATCTTAACTTTACACGCAACCACATAAACACGCGCGCATGCACACGCGCACACACGCACGCACATAACATACAACGATGTTCTGGACGTTCTCATACCTCTAGTTCTGGACGCGTTTGTTAAGAACTCTCAACATACAAATACAAATGATATTCCTCTAAGACAATGTTTCGTTAGTCCGGATATTTCTCAAACCGAACGAATTCACTGGACACTGTACAAGTTTCACAGTGTGAACTTATTATGAAGATTTTCTAAAAGAGTTAAATTACTATTCACACGTGTGCTCACTTACTTGTGGGTCAGTGGGTTGTCATAGTTATATTTACGGTCACGTGCAAGATCTCGGACTTTGACGCCATTCCTGTAGAGCTCCAGAGATTGGGAGACACCTGTCGAGTGACAAATTATCACATGAGTTAGTATGTTTACGGGGCTTTAAACAGTATATTATATATATCACAGCTTCCATGATATGTCAGCTTGATGTTGGAGGACAGCCAGAAGTGATGCAGGACATAAGACGTTTACCGCTTTGATCAAACCAATATGGACTACATTGCTGAAATATTGTAGATGCAACGTTATTGTTCTTATCGTTCTCTGTATCCCACCCTCATCCCCTAACACTACATTACTGAATATTCTCACCGATATTTCCACCCTCGTCCCCTAACACTACATTACTGAATATTCTCACCGATATTCCCACCCTCAGCCCCTAACACTACATTGCTGAATATTCTCACCGATATTCCCACCCTCAGCCCCTAACACTACATTGCTGAATATTCTCACCGATATTCCCACCCTCAGCCCCTAACACTACATTGCTGAATATTCTATCCGATATTCCCACCCTCATCCCCCAATACTACATTGCTGAATATTCCCACCCTCATCCCCTAACTCTACATTGCTGAATATTCTCACCCTTAGACCCTAAGACTACATTGCTGAATATTCTATCCGATATTCCCAACCTCAACCCCCTAACTCTACATTACTGAATATTCTATCCGATATTCCCACCCTCAACCCCTAACAATACATTTCTGAATATTCCCACCCTCGTCCCCTAACACTACATTGCTGAATATCCCCACTTTCGTCCCCTTAAACTACATTGCTGAATATTCTCACCGATATTCCACCCTCAGCCCCTAACACTACATTACTGAATATTCCCACCCTCAGACCCTAACACTACACTACTGCCTAGAAGTTCATTCCCCTTACACGCATGGGCAACGCGTTACGCAACCAGTGTGCATCGGGTTGGTCACGCGTGTGAGACCCGTGTGCAACGCGTTGCACACGGGTGTGCACCCCGTCCGCCACTCGTGTGCAACGCGTGACACACTCATTAGAGGGGGAACAAACTTTTGACCAAAGGAGGACCCGTCTTAAGCTGAACCTGGAGGTGGTAACAAGGAGAGAAAATTTTGTTATCCTGACGAAAAATGATAATACACATGTATTTCCTAATGTCTCCTTTCTTTATGTGATTTTGTGGGAATAACATGAATACTGTTGCGATTAAATAGATCTGTTTTGTTTTATACGACCATTGCTTCTAAATCCGATGGTGTTAATTAAGAGAATACATGGTCCTGGAACATGTTATTGCAATTGAAATGCTTTTATTGTGATTTGACATTAACCGTCTGTAGTACGACTTTCAGTGATAATATGTATGAGGTTTGGCGGCGCATTGTTTTTATTGGACCCTGATTACTTTATGATGACTTGGACTCTTTATCACAGCTCCATAGCCGTGAGGCTGGAAAAGAGCAGCATGTAATTAATGAGGGTGGGTTATATCATTGAGGATACACTTGAGGGAGAGAATACTAATTACCGTACTACAGGAAGAGACCTGTAGACGTAAGCGCGGGGTTGTGTTTTAGCTGGCCGTTTGATAATGGCCGCCAGGAGAAGTGAGCTTTGCCTGCATCATCTAAAATAAATAATAAGATACAGCAGTGTTATTTTCACGGTCTGTTGAATAAACTCCCAGCGCAACGGTCAATGTATCTTCTACTTGATCCTTGATACATCATTTTGTCTTTCACAATATATAGTATTTCAACGTACAAAGGACACTGATCTAAAGCAATTCCGCGGGAGTAGTTGTTACCTGTGCATTACTGTATTTTCCCAGTGAGTACCCGGATGATATAGCAGAAATCTAGACTTGTTCGCGACCTGTGCTCGCCATTCGTAAGCGCATTTTAATTGAAAGTAGAAGGACGTATGGTCACACTGATCAACAAAAATGAAATACAGTTTTTGAAATGTAGGTATATTTGTGGGGAGCATCGGTAATGGTGATGCAGTTTTGATAAGTCACTTGCTTAGTAATTGTGCAATCTTCGTGTACACTATTTTGACTTGCAACACAGAGTAAATATTTCACTGAACATTGCTTATTTTACCGTGTGTATATGTTTACATTCAAAATGTAAACAGATTTCACTAAGGAAATGTATTAAAACGCCTAAATATTCAGTTTATTTCACAAATTAACTGAAAAATATGTCCATCTTTATTAATATGATAACGAATTATAAATATGTTTAATACCATCACCAAGTACAGTTCTGTATTGTTTGGCTTCTTTTCTTAGCATAATTAATATATTGTGATGTGTTTAAGCTCTCTTGGTCGTCTTTATCATTTTTAGTCAGTCGGTTAAATAAATGAATGGATTATTCAGTCAATTTGTAAAATGACTGAAATATTTAGATATTTAATAAATTGCCTGAGTGAATCATATTTTACACATTGACTGTAACATATACACGCTTACAAAAGAAAATACTTGTGAAAACACCGTCTATCGCGCATCGAAAAACTTCCCAACCAAACGGAAAGGAACAAGAATCATTCTGTTCAAAGCTGCAGCGAATGAATGAAAACAAAATGCAAATATCATTATAACAACCTACCAAAGTTATAATGTATCCGGGAATATCAACATACAGGAACAATATCCATTGCGTCTGCAGCTGTACAAAAATACTTATTCGATGTAAAATGTCTATGTGAGAATCAAATACTTTAATAATAATTATTTGGAAACAATATTTGGAAACAATATTTGGAATATATATGAAATATATTAAAATATTTAAATATATCGTTTTTAAACGTTATTTAAATGTATCGAATAGTATAACCCGTGTTTGTTTCTTAACTGATCACTTATTTTGTTTCAATTGTTTCACATAGGTGCCAAGTTAGCTGAGAAAGCCCACGTGACAACTATTTTTATAATGTCCACGGTTCTTAAAAACATACATTGAGTTAGATAACAATGAACAACTAGTCAGTGTATTATCGGTTACCCTTTGAACAAAGTACATTCGATGGTCCTTCAGCATCAACATTGTCGAGGTGTAATTTCATTTGTTTCTTATAATAAAGCTTGAAATTCTTTATGATCCTGGCATCTAGTGTTAATTGTTAAAGTTAATCTCTGCAGCCGGTGCGTGTCAAAACACGGGTTGTGTACTCGCGGGCAGATGACCACGGAGTACGCTGACCACTGTGTCGGATTAACGAGACTGATTAATGAGTGATTTCAGTAATTCGTTGCAAATTAGGTGTGTCGGAGTCGGAGTGCGAGAATGTCGGATTAACGGGACTAAATAGCGCTGAATCAATCGGTTCCCATCATTTGTGTCGGATAAAGCCGAGCGTCGGATTAACGAGTGTCGGATTAACGAGACTTGACTGTATGTTGTTTTTACATCTGTACTTCACGCCATGATATGAGTATTCCCTAGGTTTAGTAACCCTACCTTCACATGTAAACACTTACTTTTGACGTATCCACTGTGCAAGATAACAGTAATTAATCAATCAACGTATTTCCTGTTGATCCTTTGATGTCTGGGAATGATCAGTTGATTTACAAAAAAAGTAAAGCAACTGATCATACATCACTTGCTGGGCTGCGACGTGCATAACTCACATTCCACCTCACTTCAAACCTGGATTTAGATTAAATAATTACCCCACGTACAAGAAAGACCAAATTTGAACCTTTATCGGGTAATCTGAGTTGTGCTACAACTAAGTATACATGTTATAAATTCATTAACTGAGCAGCAAGTGAATTACGACAAATACACAAGTGTAGGGTTATACCAGAAAATGTGGATGACAACAAGGGAGTAGTAATTGTATCATCCACGCAATCCGAAATCCGCAAATGCTTTCACTCAGGGATACTTTTTTATTATCAAACTGTAACAATCAGGGGTATTTCCAAATGACGACATCCGATGAGCTTTCGCCGTTATTTGTCTGTTTGTTTAGGCTGAAGAAATTAATTACCATGCGCCCTTTGTTGAAATCTTCATAGATCACGGGTAACCAATCAGTTTTCAAAAATGCGTAAGTTTATTTAGCTGTCCTTGCAGACTGGTAGCCCAGTCTCTTGTCACGCTCGGTTGCGTTAACGAGCAAATTGACTCACGGCAGCTAGTAAGCCCAAGCGGAAATCCAAAGGTCGTGCTACCTGAAGAATCAACCTTCATTTGCGAAATATCTACTGCTCTCAAAATCAATATTTCTCCCAATACTAAAAGTCAGAACTTTCTAACCAAGGAGTACCAGTTGAAACTGGTCGATGGCTGAACATTCCCAGGGAAGACAACCAGTGTCCACTCTGTGATTCTATCGCCGTGGGAGATGAATTGCATTACATCCGATGTGAAGCTTTTCACCAACGGCGATATGAACTCTTAAATAAGCAATATCTTAAGTTTCCAAACATTTAAGAAAATTATGACCACTAACAGTGTAAGAAATCTTAAAGGCCTATCTAAATTCCTTAACAATGTGTACAATACAATTGGTAAATTGTATTAGTATCCACGTATCCTATTTTTATTAAATTGTACATAATAAAAATTGTAGATAATTGTATGTCATGTTATTCTAAGAATAAATGAGTTTGAGTCCGACACCCGAGAAGAAGCCAGAGATTAGTGCCCCTTTTTGAATAGTTTACAATCATGTGTTTTACCGTTAGCTGTGTTGGCTTAAACGTATTTTTATTTCAAAAGAAATCTGTATCGGTAAAAAAGCAAAACATGCTTATGTAATACCTCTCCAGGTAACAACTTAACAACCGCTGGATATATATAAGAGAGTGATGAACATAAACATACAAAATGCACAAATGAAAGCAAGCAAGTGGTGTCTTTGAAATAAGGTAATGCAGTTTTCCTTTACTACATGCATAAACTTAAGCTACTCAAACCTTTTGCTTTTGACAATGATGTCATGAACTGATTTAAGAAGAGTCATGTTTGTAGAACTGCTTAACTACTGCCATGTAATATAATTTTTAGACCATACCCATGTGTGTAGAAATACA